AACTTGCAGAGTTCATACTATCAACCTTAATAGTTTTGAATAAAATCTGTCAATAACAAACAGCCATCAAACAAATCAGGTTTAACTAAGGTCAGTCATGATATACCAGTATAAGTTATACAGGGATACAGATTAAGTTAATAGGAAATTAAAGATGGTCGCTGTGCTATATCGTGATATTTTGGGGATACCTGTCTGTGCCCTCAGAGCTAATGCTTGTATACAAACTGGGACAGATCTTGATTACTAAATGCCTGGGTGTAGTTCTGTTTTGGTTGTAGGTGGCTGGAGTTCTGTAAGCCTCATACATCTGAATAGCATTTCCTTTTCCCATGTTTGGGGAGTTTTCCGTAATTATTTCTGTGAATAGCCTTTGCAGTTCCTTTGTTTGTACCCCTGCTTCTTCATTCACATTCTTTATTCTTAAATTATAGATCCACTTGTCGTCTTCTAGCCTTTGTATTGTTACTGCTTGTTTCCTTGTTATTTTTAAGAAATTTTTCCTTTCATGACCCCACATTACAAACCTGTCCTCCAGTCAGTTTGGAGAATCTATCCTTAGTTTCTTTCAAGCAGTTTTGCCAGCTTTCAATGGAGCTTTTAATTTCCTGGTAATCTCTTTGGATCTGCTTGATGTATTCTGTTTTGTCTATATTCTCCGTCAAATGGTTCCCCCCCACCTTTTTGTTTCTCCATTCTTCCATCTGTGTCTTTTTGAGAGATGCTTAGCATTTGTTTTATTATTCTATTTAAGTCTTGCTTTACTTGGTTCAATATTTCACTTTTGAACTCGTCTATGAGGTCCCAAAGATATCACTTTATGTCCACTGGTGCCATGTCTGATATTGTGTTTGCCATCCTCAATCTCCTTTGCATTTACCTTTTCTGTATCAATGTTCTCAGGGCTGGGGACCTTTTCTTATTGCTTCCTCTTCTCATATTTTTTGTTCCTTTCATACAGGTGTATATAGGAGGCCCCACCCAGTTTCTTTCTTTGTTGGTTACAGTTAGTTCGCCTGAAGCGCACTGACTAGGTGCTCCTGCCCATTACAGTGTACTATGGAGGTACAAACAGGGGCAGCATATGCAGGGCCCTCCTCTCTGGGTTAATGAACCTGCTGAGCACCTCACTGCATTAGGGTGCGCTGCCAGGTGTAGGTACTTGGTTTGGGGTAACCTATTGGATCTCAGCCCAGGGCACGACCCAGGTCAAGCTCACCCCACCAATCCTGCTTGAGAAGGGAGCAGCTGACTGAACTCACTGCTGTTCCTTGTTCTCACCAGTCTGCCCTGCCCAGCCCCAGAATGAATGTCGTCTGTTGGAGTCCCTTTTTCTGTGGATTGGTTTTATTCCCGTCACTCACCGAAGGTCAATGCAGGTTCCCCACCAGCCCAGCTCTCCATTCGGCACGCTGACCCCCAAACTCAGTGTCAGTGCATCTCCAGTGAGTTTGAAGCGGTGGGCTTTTGGTAGCTCAGTAAGTCTCGGCTGTGCGAGTTCAAGCACTGCAGCGGGAGCACCGAGCCTTTAGCTGTTCCAATGGTAGCACCGGGACTGTATGTTTAATGGGTTTCTCTCAGCTTGTGCCTGGGTCAGGTGGATCCATCTCCCTCTGTTTGGGACTCCCCATGCTGTATTAATTTTGGAGTCTAAGTTGACTACCTCAGAGAGCCTCTGTAGCCTGCTGTTATCTATTCACCATCTGTACTAGAACCCCTCTCCGGGTGTTTGTGTGTGTGTGTGTGTGTGTGTGTGTGTGTGTGTGTGTGTACACACGTTTCTGTTGTTTATATAGTTGTGGCTGTTGGCAGTTGGTGTTGGCAATAGGGTCTCACCACTTAGTTCAGGTCAGCCTCAAACTCAATACATGGCCCAGGTTTGTCCCGAAGTCACAGTAATGGGATTGCCTCAGGCCTCCTGGGTGGGGGATCACAGGCACGTGCCACTCCAACCCAGCTTCTGGCTAAGAACTTCTGACACAACCTCGAGGGAAGGTTCACAGACTTAGGCTGACTGAGCTTATTTTGAGACCCTGGCTTTCTCCAATTCAGTGTCTCATCATCCTTGGCCTCCAACTCCCTAGTGAGGGTTGGGATTACAGCCATACATACCACACTCACCCAACCCCACACCGCAGTACTCGAGCCCCATCACTCGCTGTTTCAAATGGAACCACACTTTAGGAAAGGATTTCTGGCAGCCTGTGCAGGATTCATTTCTATCCCATCATCAGTAATAACTGCTGCCATGGGTGGCAAGAGCCTTAGAGGATTCTGCCGCGAACCTTCAGAGGACTGCGAACCGCGTAATTTTGTTTGCTTGTTTGTTTTTGGTACAGGGGATCCTTTTATCATTTTTTATTTTTGAAAGACGTACCTTTAGCCACACTGAACTGACTACTGTACCTTGTATAGTGGCAGCCATGGGTCAGTCGGTCAGTCTGTCCGTCTGTCAACGACTTGATTTAACTTTATTATTTTTGCATCTTGGGGGGGGGGAGTCTCTATATGCAGTTCTGGCTGGCCTCGAGCTCACTTTGTAGCCTAGGCTGATCTCGAACTGACAAGGCTCCTCCTTCCTCAGCCTCCCAAGTGCTGGGATAACAGGTGTGAGCCACCTCGCCCAGCTTAACTTCCTTGTTTTTAAATTTTGTTTTATTTATTTCTTTGTTTTTGTGGTACTGGGGATTGAACCCATGATCTCACGTTTCCTGTTTCCTAGGCTGCAAGAGCTTACAATACTGAGCTAAGTCCCTGGTGACAACTTGATGTGAAGAAAGTCTTTGAACGGTGGAGCCCACCAAGATGTGCCAGGCTTGCTTCCTTCTTTCCTCCCTTCTCGCCTTTCAACCAGGGCCAGCTGGCCACTTCCGAGGCAGGCCAGGCCACGCACTGAGAGGAGGTGAGGGCGCACCGGATCCCACCTGACATTGGCTCTGCTTCCACAGTGGTTGTCTTTATGTGATCTGGTGTGAGCCACACGCTGGGAAAGGACGGCCCCATCTGTTGGTCTGTCTTGGTTTTCCTTACTTCTCTCATTTTAATTAATGTTGGAGACGACAACTAAGGTCTCTTCTTTGACAAAGCTGGTGCTTCACTCCCCCGCCCATCCTGCCCCACCTGCCCTACCTGCCCCGCCTGTCTTTAGTTTTATCTTCAGAATGTCCTGACAGTGTCTCCGTAAACCACTGAATAATTCCTCTGGCAGGCTGGGCTCAAATCTGCAAAAAAGTCAAATCTTTGTGACGAACTCGGTTTTCTCCTTGTCTTTGAGTTTTAGGTTAGGATTCTAAGCCTTCACCGCCACACACAACACCCACTGTTGTCGTCATTCTCCTTGGTGTTGCTTGTTGTCCTTAACTTACCATGGTGGTGGTGGTAGTAAAGACATCCCATCACATGGGGCTGGGGCATGCCCAAGTGAAGAAGCTGGTACCTACCCAGCAAAACCTACATCTGAACATCTGACTTATCATCTTTATCACCTTTAAGCATATATATATATATATATATATATATATATATATATATATATATAAAATCAATGCTGTTCAGCATACAGGAGAGGGGGATGGAACAGGACAATGACTGCCAGCCAGCCAGCCAGCCAGGGTCATGGGGGACATCACGTGGGGGCAAGGTGGAGGCCAAGGGACTTGCCTGAGCAGATATTGGGGGATAGTGCTGCCCAGGCACCCCACCCCACTCCACTGCTCTCAGCATGAAATGTAGCCCAAGGCAAAGAAGTGGTGCATAGGCCCTTGACTCCAGCCCTAGGTGAGCTAAGAATGACAGGAGTGTCACCAGTCACTAGTTTAAGGTCAACCTGTGAAGATTGCCCTGGGCTACATGGCAAGGGTCCATCCTCCCTCCCTCCCCCCTTTCTCCCCTCCCTCCCCTTGGCCCCCCTCCTGCCCTCTCCCCCTCTTTCGGTGCCTGCCTCCTTGTGAAGGCAAAACCAAAAACTAAACACACAACTGCTTGCCAGGAAAGGAGTTTTCCTCCCCTTTCTGGCAAGGGAAAAGTGAAGTACTTAATGTGCAAAGTAGACTCTGAGAAGAAGCTCTCAGCAGAGAGAGTGTGGTGGCACACACGTGGGCCAGCCAGTAATCACAGGGTAGGTACGACAAGGGTGGGGGTGTGAGGGAGAGGCTGTCCCTCAAAATTTCTTCTGGGTCACTGATTCCATACCGTTCAGATGAGATAGTGGCTAGCATTTCAGGAAGAATACCTGTGACCAGGCTCAGGCAGGCAAAAAAGCAGTCACCGTCTCCATTATCCCAGCAGTGGCAGCAGAACAACCAGCGAGGCGCCACATCCCACTTTGCCCACGTCCAAACCATAGGAAACCCATCAGACTTCCCACTCAGTGCCACGCTCCCTATGCGACTCTCACTCCTCCCACACCATCCCTGGCCACGGCCCACTCACTATGCTGCTCTGTTCTGCCCTCCTCAAGTCAGGGGTTCAGAGTTAGCCAGGCCCAGTGGTCCACACTCACAAGCAAAATCGGGCCCTCCTTCGGAAAGGCCAAAGAAACAAGGATCAGAATTTTCTGCCAGGCCGTGTCTCTACATGAAAGGCTGGGGCCAACTGTTGGAGGCTCATCTCCTCACAGCAGGCAGCACTTAGTTGAGAGGCTGAGGTAGGATGATCACGCTAAGTTCGAGGTCTGACTGGTCCCTGTAGTGATTTCAAGGAGACCATCCTGAGGTACCCAGGGAGGCCTCTGTCTTCAAAAAGCAAGTAAGCAAGCAAATAAAACACTCAACGTAAATAATCAAAAAATAATAGAAGCCAAACCCTAACCCTAACCCTAACCCTGCTGAATGTCTGGCTTCCACCCTTAGATAGCATCACCACATGGGATTTCCCCCTCCTCTCCTGGTGGCGGTGGGGAGAAGCAGTACCATTTGGCCTCATTCACACAATTTTCTCCAAAGGGGGGGGGCGGCACCAGCTCACCCGTGGGCCATAGAAAACACCACGCACTCCATGGGTTTGTGTTGATTTGCATCTTTATTTTGCAGTCTGTCATTAGGGTTCCCAGGTTTCCCCTCAGAGAACAAGGTGGGAGGCAGTCAAAGGAGATGTTGGTTTCAAAGGGCGAACATGTCCATGAGATTCACTCCACTTCCTCTTTTTCTCAAACAGACTCATCGCCCACCACACGTTTAGGGTCGGACGTGAGATCGTCAGGGTTGGGCGGCTGTCATCCATCGAGGGAGAGCCAAATGCAGTTCTGCAGTGGAAAGAAAACGATAATTAAAGACGAGCCATACAACCAAGACAAAGCAAGACAGCAAAAAGCAAAAAAAAAAAAAAAAAAAAAAAGCAACCCAAACCTCTCAGGAAACAAAAAGCATAAGCCAACAAGAGAAAAGAAAAGGAAGAGAAAATAATGAAACCAATAAAAGAAACAGACGGCAACCCTAAAAGAAAAAGGTGACAATGACGACGACAACAACCACAGAAACAAGAACAACAAGAACAACAGCAGCAGCAGGAGGAGGAGGGCGAAAGAAAACAAAAACACCCAGGACACATTCCCAGGGCTGAGGATGAAGCTCAGCAGCACAAATGCTTTTCCTGAGGTGGACTCCCCGCATCAAAGAAACCATACTTGTAAGTTAAAACAAAGATACCACAAAGAAGCAAGCAACTTCATAAAAAGAAAAACAAAAAGAGAAAACAAACACAAAAAATGAAACAGACCAAGAAACCAAACCCAGCCAATGGAAAAACAGAAACAACCCACAGCACAGTATGGGAGCTGGGACCTGACCTCCACAGCAAGGGACAGGTGATCGCTGGCAAGTGTAAAGTCGAGACTTGGAACTACAGTCCCAAAAGGAAAAAAGAAAAGAAACGCCTATGGTGTGTGTGTGGGGGGGGGGGTCAAGAGGGCTGGGGAATACAAGAGTAATGGTGGGGGGAGTGGCATGGGAGAGGCAGGGGAGAAGGCAGAATGGACGCACCCTGACCCAACAACAACAACAAAAACAACAACAACAACAACAACAACAACAACAACAACACACCACCAGCACCACCACCCACAAAAACAAACACCACCACCACCACCACCACCAAGAACAACAACAACACACCACCACCACCAACACACCACCACCAACAACAACAACAACAACACCAGCAACACAACCAGCAACACAACCACCACCACCTCCAACACACCACCACCACCACCACCAACAACAACAACAACAACAACAACAACACCAGCAACACAACCACCACCACATCCACCACCACCTCCAACACACCACCAACACACCACCACCACCACCACCACCACCAACAACAACAACAACACCAGCAACACAACCACCACCACCTCCACCACCACCTAACACACCACCAACACACCACCACCACCACCAGCAACAACAACAACAACAACACCAGCAACACAACCACAACCTCCACCACCACCACCACCACCCACAACAACACACCACCCACCACCACCACCACCACCAGCAACAACAACAAAAACGCCACCAACAAACACACCACCACCCACAAAAACAAACACCACCACCACCCACAACACACCACCCACCACCACCACCACCACGACCACCACCACCAGCAACACAACCACCACCACCTCCACCACCACCACCACCAGCAACACAACCACCACCACCACACCACCCACCACCACCACCACCAACAACAACAACAACAACAACAACACACCACCAGCAACACCAACAACAAAAACGCCAACAAACACACCACCACCACCTCCACCTCCAACACACCACCACCACCACACCACCACCACAACCACCACCTCCACCACCACCACCACCACCAGCAACACACCACCACCACCACCACCACCACCACCACCACCACACCACCACCACCACCAGCAACACAACCACCACCACCACCACCACCACCACCACACCACCACCACCACCACCAGCAACAACAACAAAAACGCCACCAACAAACACACCACCACCCACAAAAACAAACACCACCACCACTCACAACACACCACCCACGACCACCACCACCACGACCACCACACCACCACCACCACCAGCAACACAACCACCACCACCTCCACCACCACCACCACCAGCAACACAACCACCACCTCCACCACCACCACCACCAGCAACACAACCACCACCACCACCACCACCACTCCACCACCACCACCAGCAACACAACCACCACCAACAACAAAAACGCCACCAACAAACACACCACCACCAACAACACACCACCCACCACCACCACCACACCACCACCACCACCAGCAACACAACCACCACCTCCACCACCACCACACCACCACCACCACCACCACCACCAGCAACACAACCACCACCTCCACCACCACCACCACCACCAGCAACACAACCACCACCTCCACCACCACCACCACCAGCAACACAACCACCACCACCACCACCACCACTCCACCACCACCACAGCAACACACACCACCACCAACCACACAAACACACCACCAACAAACACACCACCACCAACAACACACCACCACCACCACCACCACACCACCACCACCACCAGCAACACAACCACCACCTCCACCACCACCACTCCACCACCACCACCAGCAACACAACCACCACCAACAACAAAAACGCCACCAACAAACACACCACCACCAACAACACACCACCCACCACCACCACCACACCACCACCACCACCAGCAACACAACCACCACCACCTCCACCACCACCACCACCAGCAACACAACCACCACCACCACACCACCCCACCACCACCACCACCACCAACAACAACAACAACAACAACACACCACCAGCAACACCAACAACAAAAACGCCAACAAACACACCACCACCACCTCCACCTCCAACACACCACCACCACCACACCACCACCACAACCACCACCTCCACCACCACCACCACCACCAGCAACACACCACCACCACCACCACCACCACCACCACCACCACACCACCACCACCACCAGCAACACAACCACCACCACCACCACCACCACCACACACCACCACCACCACCACCAGCAACAACAACAAAAACGCCACCAACAAACACACCACCACCCACAAAAACAAACACCACCACCACTCACAACACACCACCCACGACCACCACCACCACGACCACCACACCACCACCACCACCAGCAACACAACCACCACCTCCACCACCACCACCACCACCACCAGCAACACAACCACCACCTCCACCACCACCACCACCAGCAACACAACCACCACCACCACCACCACCACTCCACCACCACCACCAGCAACACAACCACCACCAACAACAAAAACGCCACCAACAAACACACCACCACCAACAACACACCACCCACCACCACCACCACACCACCACCACCACCAGCAACACAACCACCACCTCCACCACCACCACACCACCACCACCACCACCACCACCACCAGCAACACAACCACCACCTCCACCACCACCACCACCACCAGCAACACAACCACCACCTCCACCACCACCACCACCAGCAACACAACCACCACCACCACCACCACCACTCCACCACCACCACCAGCAACACAACCACCACCAACAACAAAAACGCCACCAACAAACACACCACCACCAACAACACACCACCCACCACCACCACCACACCACCACCACCACCAGCAACACAACCACCACCTCCACCACCACCACTCCACCACCACCACCAGCAACACAACCACCACCAACAACAAAAACGCCACCAACAAACACACCACCACCAACAACACACCACCCACCACCACCACCACACCACCACCACCACCAGCAACACAACCACCACCACCTCCACCACCACCACCACCAGCAACACAACCACCACCACCACACCACCACCACCACCACCACCAACAACAACAACAACAACTACAACACACCACCAGGAACACCAACAACAAAAACGCCACCACCACACCCCCCCCACCCCCCACCACCACACCACCACACCACCACCACCACCACCACCAACAACAACAACAACAACAACAACAACAACAACAACAGCAGCAGCAACACTGCCAACTAGAAGAAGAACAAGAACATCATGTGGGAAACATCAGGAAGAAATAATAGTGCAGGGTTTGCAGGAGGGAAAAGAGTATGAGTAGATGTGAGGAGGTAGAATGTGAGAGTGGGGGGAGGGCGAGACGGTGACAGTGAGTACGCAAAGAGGGTGAGACACGCCGCTGGCCGAGCAACCATAGGCGGCGTTCGCAGTAAGGGCACGTCTCAGGGCCAACTGGTCTACCCGCTTACGGGCCAGCCAGCTGGTCGACCTAGGAGATGCCGCTGGAGAGCAAAGTTCTGCCTCGGACAGCTGGTCGACCCCGCTGGGCCCACGTCGGGTGTGGAGGCCCGGGGATTCGCGCCTCTCCCGCCATCTCCGCCCGCCGTGCTGCTCCTCGCTCCACGCCTCGAGACAGCTGGTCGACCTCACCGGACCGGGAGGGGAAAAGGAAAGAGGCGGGCAGGGCGCGGAACGCCGCCCCTGCCGAGGATGGGCCTCCCACCACCCCGGTGGCGGAGGCGGAGGCCCGGCGAGGGAGGAGGGATTTCCCCCCGGCGGACGGCCCCCTCCTCCGGGAGACGGAGGGAGCTGGAGAGAGAAAGGTCGCACGGAACGTCAACCTGGAGGCCGAGCCCCCAGCCTCACCGTCCCTGCGGGACTCGGCACGCGACGCCAAAGCCGCACCCCGACCCCGTCCCAGCCCGGGGCGAGCCCCGGCGGGGAAGGGGAGCCGGCTTGGCGCGCCCACCGGAAGCCCGCGGGGCGGTGGGGGGGACCCGGCTCCGCAGGAGGCGAGTCCGTGCCCGCCGCCTCACACCCAGCACGGCCCCCCGGGTGCGCGCGTGGCGCGCCACCTCCCGGTGCAACGGCGTGGGCGATGGCGGGGGGCGGCCGCGAAAACCCCCTGGGCGGGACGGGC